CCTGGAGTGCCTTTGGGCACCGTCACCTACACCCTCCCAGTCACCCCTCCCCTCCCTCACAGAGCCCTGCTACGAGTCACATCCATCCGGGCTCGTGTCTCCTCCCCCTCTCCCCACCCTCTCCCACCCTCTCTCCCCCTCTCTCCCCCCTCTCCCCCCCTCTCCCCCCTTTTTCCCCCCTCTCCCCCCCTCTCTCCCCTTTTTCCCGCCTCTCCCCCCCTCTCTCCCCTTCTCCCCCCTCTCCCCCCCTCTCTCCCCCTACCTCCCCCTCTCCCCCCCTCTGTCCCCCCCTCCCCAGATGTGACTGCCCCAAGCAGCTCTCCGGCCCGGACTGTCGGCGCAACACCAGCGCCCAACAGCTGCAGTACTTCGTACAGTCCCGGCAGACGGAGGCCACCCGGCCCATGAGGTGTCTCAATCTGTGTAACGGCCGGGGGGAGTGTGTGCTGGGGGAGTGCGTATGCAAGAGAGGTGAGGGGGATGGCCGGGCCGGGCGGGTGGTGAGGGAAGGGAAGGGAAAGACGAACCACACACGATTGAAGCTGCTGCCAGGGCAAGAGAGTAGCAAACGTAAAAACTGACCGAAAGGCGTCCGTGGCGACTGTGACGACTGTGACGCCGGGATGATGAAGTGACGTTGATGTCGGAAATCCTACCTACCTAAGCCGCCAGAAATAAAAAGCTGAATAGTATAGCCAATCCGTAAAGAAGTAGGTGTAGAAAAGTAGTAGTGAAGGCGGCGAGTAAAATAGTGCTGTCGTTAAGGTGGCCTAAAGTTGCTGGCCTGGAGAAAAAGGCTGATTTGCTGATACTGAAAGGCTGTCGGTATGCAAGTGCTCCTCCCAACCCCCCAAAAAACTTAAAACGCGCGGCCGACCCGGCCGACCCGACTGTTCTATTCCGGCTAGCCTACCGACGCCAACGCGATATACCAAAGGGAAGGGGAGATAGCGTGTTTGCGGGTAGGGTATGGTGGACGAACGGATGCTCCAACTCTGTTTGCACATGCTCATCCAACCTACCATGGCACACGCAGACAGGAAGACAAACAGACAAACAGACAAACAGACAGACAACCACAAATCCCGCCACATTGATTTTCCCCTCCCTACACACATATCTACCCCAAGAAGCAGATAGGTTTGACCGGAAACGAAGCCCCCCCACCCCCGTATGTATGTATGTATATGTATGTATGTTACCTGCCGCAGGTTTCTTCGGTGCCGACTGCTCCCTCAGCATAAGGCCCTCGGGCAAAGCCGTCTTACTGGAGGGCACCGGCTACCAGCCACGTGAGCAGAGGCCGTACATTTACGTGTACGACATTCCGCATAGGTACTCGTCCTGGTACGTACGATGATGATGCACAGCACAGCACGGGCGTGGCATGGCACGTGTGTGCTTTATGATTACGTGTGGA